CATATTCTCGAACATAAGTGCTTCTGCTACCAATTAAGTGCTTATTCATAAATTGAAATATTTTGGTTGCGAGTGAAATGTACTGTAAAGAAAATAGAAAATCAATAATTAACTTATTTGCTACAATTTACAGTAACCGTAAATATAACATAACATGAACATATAAATGCATTCATACACATGATGCATTCATATTAGAAGTTATATCTCATGTCACAAAGTATATATTTTTTATTTTAGATTTTATTTTAGATTTTAGAAAATAATCACAACTACAGAAACATACACCATGTGGCTCTCGATTATCAGGAACTATGGTAGTGACGGTAGTGCGTTCCGCACTTGCTTCGTTATTTGTTTCTTTATTAGTATTTGTTGAAGTCTCGTCCGATGGAGCGATAGTTTCCTCAAACCATAATCCCAAAATAGGTTCGCTGTCCTCCTCTGCCGACATAATAGTTTGTTCTATATAGCGAATATATATCACTATGTTAATAAAATTATCAATATGTAAATATTAATACGAGCATTTTGAAGCTGCATTTAAGTATACATATTGCGTATAATTGTTTACAGAAATTACTTCAAAATTAATTTTTACACGTTGATCACAGCATGTTCTAATATTCACGGAAAATTAACATAATTTTATGTGCGTTAAAATTTACAGAAATTACTTCAAAATTAATTTTTACACATTGATTACATGTTCTAATATTCACGGAAAATTAACATAATTTTTTATGTTAAAATAAAACACACATTGAATAGCATTTAAGTTTTAATATTCCTGTTGCTGGCAGCGATAAAAAAAGAAACTGCAGAAAAAAAAGATTATTTTGTGGTGCGTACGTACATGCGTAATACTATATATATTATATACTATATATATATATATATATATAATATATATATATATATAATTAGAATTTTTCATAATCAATTTACTATTAAATAATAAAACTAATTATAAATGCACATAAATACATATAACATTCGATTCATAATTTTACCCTCATCAGTGGAATTCTCTGAACAACTCAAAAGATCTTCATAGTATGTAGTAGAATCTGATTGACTCAATGCATCTCCTTCCAAAGGATGCTTTTGTACTCTTTTCAATGTACATGCCTGCAGTAAATAAAATACACATCAGTAATAAAATACTTTATCGAGATTTTAATATTAATACAAATACATATAAAATAAATCAATACTTTTCGGTAACTAATAGTAGCCAGATAAAATAGCAAATGATTCAATGGCACTGCTTGTAGGAACGTTACTGCTCTCTGCAATGCTGTAGCAGTAGACAAAATATCCAGTGGTGCTGGTTCAGGAACTGCCACAACCACATCGGAATTGGCTTCAATAGATACATCTTCCAGAAGCGCGCTCATTAAATTCAGTGCATGTGATGCTAATGCCACTGATAATACGCCAAATCCCTGTTGTCTAATTACATACAAATGTTATGTTATACACATACATATATACATATAAAACACAGGTACATTATTGGCCATTAAAATTACAACACCAAAAAAGACGCGTTATATTGGAACAAAACTTGCATGATAGATAATAAATTATAGTAGAATACGAAAATGATTAGTACATATGCAAATGATCACAATCTAATAATATAGTTACATCATGTATCATAAATAATCTATCATATAAATATAATGTAATATTTTTGATCTTATGTCTTTTTTGATGTTACAATTTTAATAAATAACAGTGTATAAAAGAAAATACAAAATATAATTTCAGAAAAGTTCATGCAGGTGAATTCTCAAAGATACAATAATATATATATAAATATGTAAAATAATTACACTTTCATAAGATTTACACGTCCACTTCCATCACGAGCTTTACTTGGTGATTTTCCTTTTTCTTCTTTCCCTTTATCTGCAGCACTAAAACTGCTCACACTTAATTGCGCTTGTAATCCAGCGACTAGCAGCCACACTCCAATAAGTAAATGATTTTGCAGAATCTGAAGTACAAATAAAAAAAATATAATTGCACAAAAAATAAGACTAATATGTTCATGAACAAATTAATATTCTAAAATAATTAATCTACTTTATATTATGAAGTAGATAAAATATAATTTTTACAATGTATATCAAAGTGAAACAAATCTTGTAGAAATTACTTACATGACCTCCTGCACGCGTGCTATTTTTAATAACATTTGATACTTGACCAAATATTTCTAGACTCTTCTCAACAACCGTAATTGCTAAGGTATCGTACTCCTCGTCGGTGGTTTTCGTATTCTGATTGGTTTGACTATTTGCTGCAGTATTCGTACTACACTTAGGTGATACTGCATTTGTTATGCCAACTATGCTTGATGCTGTCGCATTTGCGATCGAACAATACAGACAAGACATAGTCAGCAGCGACAACTTTTCCAACTTTTGTGGTGTCAAAGGTTCCAGTATCGGGAGGGATATCACATTATGTACAATATTAATGTCACTAACAACAGAGTGTAAACTGTGCCTTATTGTATGCGCTTCTGAGGCATTTGCTGGTAAGCTGAATCCCTTCTTAGATAAATAAGCTTGATACTTTCTGGTATAGCGCGACAAGTGCGGAAGATTTAAACACATATCCAACAAAGTATCACCTGCTCCCATATTCTGCAATGTGCTGATATTGTTTGCAATAAACATCATCTGCAATATAACAGAGAGATATATCATTACTCTTATGATTTAATATTAATTCATTTCACTAATACTGAAATATTATAATTATTTTTTAACAATTATTGTTACATATGTACAATAAAACATGTAACAATAATTAAAAACATAGTTTATCGCAAATATTAATATATAAGTTATAGCAATGGAAATATATCTTGTTTGATCATAAGAAAACATTTATATTTCACTGACACAAACCTTAGTATCAGAATGCGTCTCGCTTGCAGAAGTATTAGTAGTTTTGGTCGTACTATCCATAGAACTTTCATTAGTTAAAATCGAAGATGACGAAAAATCTTGTAACGGCATTGTTAATTGCTCGAGAATACTGGTAGACAAGTCACAACGAGACCGCATAGATTCTTTTACAGATGGCTGAGGAGACTCCTTTTCTTTTCCACTTGACAAAACTGTTACGTAAGGCGGTACTTTGGAATTTTTTATTACAGAAACAAGAGCAATTTCTTCTGCAGACGTAAGTAAAGACTGTCCCGTGCATAGCGCACGTATTGGGAGTAGCAGCTGCTTTGTAGTCAAAACCGTCGATGTGGTATCTCCAGATTGCGCTTGTTGTTGTGGCAACTTGTCCACAAGATAAGCAAGCAGCACTTTGCATGCTTGACAAACGATAGATATTTGACTTTTGGCAACTGAAAAGGATATTTTGTAAGACTTAGTACTTTATTTATACCTAACATATATAAACATACATGTCTTATACATTTTAAAATACTTTGAATTCTTCCACTATTCCAAGACTGTTTTAAGAGATGTATAAAAGCAGCGAAGAACGAAAGAAAAAGAAAAATACTTTCAGATATTTTAGATAACAAATTTAGATAACTCGTCTAAAATATCTAAAAATATCCTAGGTTATGTATGTACGTATTTTACTCAAAGAACAAAACTTTTTACTTGTTAACTAAACATTTTAACTAAAATATCTCTCTTTCTCTCTCTCGCTCTCTCGTTCTAAGTCTATTATCCAAATACATTCCTCAAAATTCTTAAAAATATTTTGTTTTCCTTCTTCACCTTTCATTTTTCTTTGTACGTACATGTGTACCATTTGACGATTATGACAATTTTGAAATAACGAAATAATTAGACGAACATCAAGATTTTAAATAAATGTGTATATATATGTGAAAAAAAAAAAACGTTTTTGGTTAGTCATCTGCACGCGAATGCGCGGTGTTACTTACACGTATTTGCGCAACCGCTAATACAATCCGCCGACAAGGCAGCGACCGCCGTGTAAAAAGTATCGTATTGATCCTCGTGAGAGACAAATTTGTTTTCGCTGCAACACAAGAGAAGAAAAGGGACGGACGTTATTGCCGAGTGGAAATAAAAGGTCGGACGAATTCGATCGGCGGTGGTGACAGGCGGACTTCCATTTCCGCCAAGAGGGGAACGTGTGATCTTTCGCGTCGAGAAAAGGGCGATTTAACGCGGTTGCCGGGCCACGACGATTCGCACCTACCTTTTAACGATGCTCTTTACGAGATCGATAACGTCATTTTTATTAAACGAACGCGGCGATGTTCCCAATATCGGCTTCATCACCGAGGGCCACTCATCGTGACCACCACTCTTCGCCGCCATTTTCGATACTGAGCTCCGTTAAGTTTTCGTTCTCTCATCCTCTGCAGGTCTGTTCTTTGGCGCTGCCTACCGCGTACACTTGAAATGAAACAGATACATATTTTGAGGTTAGGCGAAAGCGAGATAGAAAGTTTTAAGTGCAATTCAGTGCAGCGACGAAGAACACGTCTTGGCACTTTTCAATATAACCGGTATGAAAAACGTAGGTCTGTTCTTTTGTACCTACGTACTTTTCTGAGAATATTTTTCAAGTGAGTCCGGGGGGATAATTGAAGAACAATGACTTTACCGACTGTTTTAGCTGCACCGAGGATAACAAATCACTGCATTTTTACGTGTTCAAAATTCCAAATTTCAAAATTATTATATTATCGGCAAAGAAAATTCATATGTATTTTTCAATGTTGCAACTTTTACTATGCATATATACATACAGTAAATGTGAAAATTCAAAAGTATACATATGTATGTGTATACTACGCGATGACAGCTCTACACAATTTTTTTTCTCGTTCTCAGCATACCTCTAGCAACCTGAGCTACATTGATGCCTAATCTTCAATCGTGAAGAAGATATGTGTTGTACACGTTATACATTATAATTATATATATGTTATCGTTTTTATCAACGATACGGTTGATAATAAATGGTTCTCTTGATATGTACCCTCTTGCGATGACTGCGACGTCTGCGACATCGGTAGAACATCGCGCGGAACGACAGATGGCAGAATGTCTCTGGTAATGTTGCACGTGTTACGTTGCCACGGTTTGGCGAGACTCGTTATTCCGTCGTTGCGATTCGTAGCAACCGGCAGGCCGGTGTTGGTGAGACTCGCCGCGTTCACGAAACTTCGCCAAGACATGTCGTACACGACCGTCGAGAGGGGTGCGCTCAACAGCACGGACTACAGGATATTTTTCAGTGAGTAAATATTCGACGTGACGTAGTTAGATTAACGATGAAGTAACACTCGCGGAAGTCGGCGAGAGTAGCCGTGAACCTCGGGAAGGTCGCGAGGTCAGGGATGCACGTTCGTGCGTGGCGTGTCATTAATATTTTTAACGTTATCATTAATGACACGAATTTTCTCGAATGATGACACGTCATCGCACGAGGTTCCGCGTATTTCTTGACCGTGAATAATTCAGGGAACTCCAACTCGACCGCGCGTCGTTTTTTTTTTTTGCAACTGTCGGATTTCGATCCCGAGTTTCAAGTTCGTTACCGCGCTTTATGTATTTGTGACGCATTTTGCGCTTGATAGCGATTTTTTTTTTTTAAACGGCACGTATCCACGAGCGATTTTTGTCACGGTATCCGCATCGTCTCACATATCGATCTATAATTATTCCAATTCCTTGTGACCCTATGACATTTAGCGGTGAAAGTACATATTTGCAGGCGTTAGAAACGAGGAAGCAGTCCTGTTCATGCTCCAGACATATGTTTTTATATATTCGTACTTTTCCCCAAGTTTTATATTTTCTTTGTGCAAGAGATCTTTCTTTTTTGAGATATTTACTATTACATATGGAATAACATTTTGAATTAGCGTTATGGAATGACGGACTATTCTGAATTAACAATTCGTATTTCTTTTACGTATTTTAAAAATTCTTTTATTTTTATGTGTAGAAAATGATCAGGGTGTCCCAATCTCGCCCATGCATGACATTCCACTCTATGCCAACGAAGACAACAAGACCATGCACATGATTGTCGAAATACCAAGATGGACAAACGCCAAAATGGAAATATGTCTTAAAGAGAGTTTGAATCCAATTAAGCAGGATGTTAAGAAGGACAAATTGAGATTTGTCGCTAATTGTTTCCCTCATCATGGCTACATATGGAATTATGGAGCTCTTCCCCAGGTAGGAATTTTTGCAACTGTATTCGGTTGTTATTTAATCACTTGTTTTGGTATTTTTTTTATTCATAGTTGAATATTATATTTATTCGTTTTTTTTCTGCCACAGTGAAATAATATTTATTCATTACATATTTCTTATATGTTGGAATGACAGGTATAAAAATTCTCAAGTTTTTTGCTTGAAAAACTAGTCTGTTAATAAGCTATAATCATAAAAAACACACATTTCTTTTTTATGTATCTATATAAATTGTACAGAAAATGTAAAATTTCTTAGAAAAACAAAAAAAAATTATTTATTCAGAATGAAAGGAAAGCTTATAGTTTATTTAATTTTAAGAAATGTTGCATTTATAATATTTTTGCCTTTAATCAAGATAGCATGTCTAACATTAAATATATTTGTTTATAATGTACATCCTTCTGTTTATTATTTGTACGAATAAATTATTATTTCTTCTGTGATAATATGTGTGATTCAATGATGATCTCGTTTATTATCTGAACGTAAAATAAAAGGAACTACGAGCAATTATATTAAACTAACACTATTAGTGCATATCTATATGTAATCTTATCTCGTGTACATGTGCATGTGTGAGCTTGTAGTTGAAGGCATATGCTTATACTTGTGCTAGTCATTGCTTTTCCATTACTCTTGAAATGTTATCTTCCTGTACACTTCCTGATTTTATAAAAGAGACAATATATCTTACTTTTTGTTAAAATTAAAAGCTATTTGATATATATAATATTATAAATTGTTATTTTTCTTGCTATTATAATAAAGACAGCTGTATATTAAATAATTGTATATTTAATTAACAGACATGGGAAAATCCCGATGTTTTGGATGAAGCAACAGGCTGCAAAGGTGACAATGATCCTATTGATGTTCTTGAAATAGGTTATAGGGTGAGAAATAATTGCTGTGTGACATATATTATATAATTTTATTTATCATATAATAATTATTGATAGAAACATATTTGCATTTATATATAGGTTGCAAAACGAGGCGAGATATTAAAAGTGAAAGTTCTTGGAACAGTGGCACTTATTGATGAAGGTTAGATTATTTATTTATTTATCAGAAGTTATATATATTTTTAATTAAAACCACTGTAAATTGATGTATGTTCCAAAATATGTAGAATATTAGAATAATTTATATGTACAGATTAAAATGTTACCATATGTTTCTTTTTTTTATTTTAGGTGAAACTGATTGGAAGATTATTGTAATTGATGTTAACGATCCATTGGCAGATCAAATGAATGGTAATTGTTATTTCAATTCTTAAGAATCAATTCGTAATTTCTTAAAAATATGTACACAGTACTTAATATTGCTTCCTAAGTTGTTGAATATTTAAATAAATTTTTTAGAGATTTTTTTTATTTGCATATTACTAACTTGATAAATATTATTGCAGATGTAAGCGATATTGAAAAGCATTATCCAGGTTTAATGAAAGCCACAATCGAGTGGTTTAAGATATATAAAATTCCGGATGGAAAACCAGAAAATCAGTTTGCATTTAATAATGAAGCAAAAACGCGAGAGTTTGCACTGCACATTATTGATGAAGTGCATCAACATTGGCAAAATTTGGTCAAACAGGAAGGTTCATCTAACGAAATAGACTGGTTCGTAAAAAGTCTTTAAATTATGTCTCAAAATAATTGAGATGTTATTTTATGTATTATTTACAGCTCTAATGTAACGGTGGAAGGAAGTTCTTTCAAGATTACTGCAGAAGCTGCACAAGAAATTTTAGCGAAGGCACCTGAATCAATGGAACCTCAGGCTGTAGAACCGATAGGTAAGTAACTCAAGCACAACATAATGTAAATAAATGTAAATTTCCTGTTTTACATAGAAGCGGAATTCTCATTAGTTTTTGTTTACTCTTTTATATAATGGTACTTATGGTGCTCCAATTCACTTTCAGTTGACAAATGTTACTTCGTGCACCACAAATTGTAACAGTCATGGAATTAAAAATTGCACTTAGTTTTCGAATATTAGAATTATATGAAGACATTATTGTTGCTGAATATATGTGAATTAAAACTCTTATTCATGCAGTTATTTTTATCGTGTATGATTTCAGTCGATAAGTGGCATTACGTACATCTTAAATGAAGATGGACATCTTCGTTCTGTCAACTATATTGAAGTCAGCTACTCTGTTCATTCATATTCATAACATGGAGTTCTTTTTCATTTATCATTTTTAATGTTTTCTCACAATACATCATTTTTTTCCTATTTCATTTTACATAATTATAAATAGCATTTCAACAATTAGATATATATGCGGTGCTGCTGTTTTTATTATAGTTCTTTTACTCTTAATTAATAGATACATGAAATATATTATTTAAAACTGAATAATATAAGATACACTTTATACGAGCACTTGTCTCTTCGGATATGCTCCGCATATATATCCTTGTTATGATATTACATCCATAGCGGCACGACTATGAAAGAAACATAATCTCATTGTGGGTTGTGATATAGTTATACAGTTCTAAGCAGATGGATTTTCTTAGATTAAAAGAGCACGTAGAATTTTCTCTTCAGTATTTTTCCCAATATGGAGATAACAATAAACAAATTGGCCTGAGTACAGATGCATATGTATTATTTCTAAGAGTTATCCCTATTTTTCATATTTTATTTAGAGAATATTTAGACATATTTTCTTCTCGAATTTGGATAGATATTCAAAGATGCTCTTTCCTGATCTTTTTCGAAAGATGTGAAAAGGTCGTGATTGGGCAAGTAGATAGATGTGACTACAAATTGATACCATTGTATTTCACCACGGTCACGTTTTTGGGTCTACTATGTTCCACAGAGAGTGGTCTCCAAAGAGACATTTGTATTCTTCTGAAAATGTACTTAGCAATATATACTCTAGGCACTGAACATACATTCTTTCGTGACATGCATCCGCTTTGGATCTATAAAGTGGAGTGGCCCTTTGGAACGATAATAAATTCTGCAGTTAAGTCTGGAAAGCAAATTCCCTGCTTAAAAGATGCCGAATAAATGGCAATTTTTCCATATTTTGGCAAATATCTATAGTATATATCTATAGTATACAATATCACTTATTCTATAGTAGAATCTATAGTATACAATATCACTTATTTGATTGAATGTTTAATATTATGAAATTTGAGTATACATTATACATTTACTTCTTTGCATGTAAATCCAAAATATTAATACTGAAATATTAGATTTTATTTATTAATTAGATATATATGTATATATGTAAGAAATATATATTTTAAATTTTTTAATATTTAATATATGAAAAAAGATATTTTTGAATCATTTTAAGTTTTAAAGCAGTCATATTTTACAAGCTAGTAGGAGACGACTGAATATATATTTGCAACTTATTAAATTCTAATATTTATAATTGCCATTATTAACTGAAATGTAAATTATCTTATATCTCTAGAATTTAATATTTCATGTCGATTAGGGCCGTTATAAATGTTAGTAAACGACGGAATCACTCCAGAAAACTAAAATCTTTTTTTTTTATTACGTGAATTTCTGCCTCTAAAGGACGCAGTACCACAATTTAGTGAAGTAAGTAACAACAAGAGAATAATGAAAATCGTAACGAAGAGAATGAAGGCAAACGAAAAAAAAAAGATTGCTTGATCAGGCCGAATGACCGAGATCGTCTGGGGAGAACGGGACTGGATTATTCCCCGGTGCCCTTCTCCAACGAATTCCTCGAAATCCTTTTCTTCCTTTTTTTTTCTCTGTCAAAGCCATGGGCTACATCAGGTAGGTAGGTAGGTAGGTGAACTAGCAGCTGGCTGGAGCAGTGGAGCTGCTGGAGGTATTGACTGGCGGCAGTGTATCCGCGCCGAGAGCAGCCGAACAGGTGCAGCGGCGAGCGGACGGAAACAGCCGAGCGAGTGGCGCGCGCCGCTCCGAATGCTCCGATTGCGCCATTCGTCAGAGCAGTCAACCAATGAGCAGGCGTGACGCGGGGGCGCGCGCGCGCCTCTAGTGGCGCAGCCAGCGACAGTAGTGACGGTGTCGCCTCACCTCGCGCGGACCGCGGTCACAGCACAACTCGTTCGGCTATCGAGCTGCGCGTTTCCGTTCCGCGTCGAGCGTATATATACATACACATATATATACATACGTACACGGCAAGTCGGAGTTTCGCGTGCGCCGGACGTCGATCATCGGTGTTGCGTCGTCCGCATCAATCGCCCCCCCGGCCCCCGATTATTTCTTCCCTCCGCTAACGTTTGACGGTGTACTCGCGCGTGCCGGAGCTTTTCTTTCTCTCTTTTCTCCTGTCGCGCCGCGCGCGCGAGCGTCTTCCGCGGTGAAGTAAGTGACGGTTCCGGGGATAAGGAGAGAACGAGAGGGACTCGGAGTAACCCGACGGCGGTTTCAGCCATGCGATTCTCGTGGATGCTCGCGGCCACGGTGCTGCTAGTTCTGGCCACGGGGGTGAGATGCAAGAGGAAATTCGACGGGGATTTCGAATTCGCCGAGGAGGTGAGTCGAGACAGAAATGACACGTCGTTTCGCTGCAACACCCTCCTCGCGTTCGCGCAAGAATTAGCGGAGCGACGACAGGTTGACAAGCCGCTGGTCGTTTTTTTGTTTTGCCTTCCTTTCCTTCCGACTCGCGGAAGAGAAAGGAACGCGAGATGACGGATATCATATCCAGTCCCTTGAAAATGATCGCCCAATCCGAAAACCGTGACTCTCCGCGACGTGCATCCTGCGGGGTGAAACGCGTTGTCAGATGGAATATTGATAGAACCAGCAAAGTGTCACACAATCGGCAATAATAACAACAGTAGTGGCGATTTCGCCGAAGGGTGGCGCTTCGCCGTTGCGAATTGTTGCGAAACAACCACTTTTTGACGTTTCGCCGCTCTCCCTCCGAAATCCCAAGGTCTCTCGTACTACGAGGAAACCCGCGGTCCCATCGATTCGAAGTTACGCGCTGCGGCAGAACTTTTGATGCGTTACAATTTGCGTTACAATTTTCCACGGCACAAGCGTGTCGTCTTGACGATAAAAGGGGAAAAGTGATAATATATACTCTCGCATTCGTATTCAGAACGTCGTTACGTGTTTATTTCGTAAATGAAATATTATTAATATGAAACACATATGTATTATTCAAGAATATTTGCATTTTATTTACTCTGCCTGTATTTCTGCCCAGTGATCATCGTTCAGCGATCGATTTATTAAAATCCTTTATTTGTATTGCGATTTTTTAACAATATTTTTTTTATTTGCCAAATGTTTAGCAAGTGCCGAATTATGCGTATTATCCTTTATTTATATTTATGCGCGAATTACAAATTCTTCAATATTTGATTCAATTATTGCCTCTGTTATTTGCAAAACAAGTTTAACAAGTGGCGAATTAATGCGCATTTTACTCGGTGCTTGCGTTCCAATATGGCGATTGCTTATAATTTCGACTTCCGATGGCTAAAAGATATTAAAAAATTCGAAGAACATCGAGATATTGGATTGCCCTTTTGATTCTCTAAAATATCTGTTTGCCCCTTATCTTCGGTATTTGTCTTGTTCTCACAATCGAGATAATCCTTACGGTTGAATCGCGAGCTCAATTTTCGTCGTAAGTGCTTGCACCTATCCGAGAAATGATTTTTCCGGCATATACCTTTTGCGAGGCACCCGAGGCTCTCTTTTCCCCTCGCAAAGAGGTCTCCGGCTGTCGTCACTCTCCTTCTCGCTACCGAATTACGAGTGAATGTACGCGCGAGATTCACGCTCCTGTCGGAGCGATCGCGTTCATACGCCGTAACGTATATGTACGTACGATCACGGCGTGCGGTTTATACGCGGAGAAACGCGCGGAGAGTGTGTATCCGCGGCTCTTACTTTCGCGTAACTGGATCCCGACTAAAATATGAGTATGGTCGACGTAATTGTTTATTTTGCGCGCGCGACTCGCACGCAGCACGCACACGCGTGTGACCGAATCACGACACTCCCGCGCGCTGCCAGTTTTATCGAAGACGGCGAAGGTCGTTGTTCAACCCTCGGTTCCGTTACGAACGATCGGGGGGAGGGGGAGGGGGTGTCATTAAAGGGAGGCATTTCCCTCATTCCCGTTTCCGCCCTTCCTAACATTTTCCACACACAACGACGCCGTCGTTTTTCACCCGGGATCCGTCCGTTTCTCCCCTTTGTCGAATTTCGACGTGTGTTAAACGAGACGCGTGAACTTTCTCTTCGTTAGCCGAATACGAGGCGTCCGATTTGAGTTCTTAGCCCGCGGGGCAAACACAAAGCGTGCTTCGCCGGCTGTTTCCTCGCGTGCATCAGATTACGTCGCGGGGATCCGAAACAACCCGCTGGGTATAGCTTCGTCGCCAAGTTCGGTGCTGCACGGGACAAGCGCGTGCAACATTGATTGATTTGAAATCAGCATGGGGATAGTAGAGAAAATAGGACACAATCTTGCAAGGTGGCGTGCAAGGAAACCGACACTCAAATATACGTATATAAACGCAAGAATACCCAACGAGATTCCTCTAATAGAATTTCTCTATTATTAACCGATTAATTCAGAGACTTGTGGTTAAATTAAGCTGGAGAAGTTATTTAAAAAATTAGATACCTTAAAAATGCTAACAGATACCCAGAAATATTTTTAGAGAATTTATAACACGACGTGTAAATTATCAGGGAAAATCAATTCATTATTAATTTTTTGTATTTACTCTTTTACAGTAGTCCTGAATTTATTTATACCATATAAATATATAGTACCCTGCCAGTATTTCTAATTTTTCTTCATGCCATCGCGAAACATTTTGCCTTAAAATTTAAGTTCTTGACTTAATTTTTATGTATTATATTTGTTATATTACTGTAATTTACAGTACATTATTATATCTCGTAGAAATATAGAATTATCAAGAGAAACAAAGGAGAAAAACTTTTAGGAGATTTTTACCTGAATTTTTTCTATAGCATATTTTATTTGCATTTCCAAACAAATCATAAGTTTATTCTTTTAATTTTGTCAGATTAATCTTGGCATGATTCGGAAATAATCTGCAAGTGTTTCTCGCAGTATTGTATTGCAATCGGCATTGAAATCACAAACTCGCGCAAGAGCCGTTCGTTCCACGGTCGCCGCGGTATTTATGCAAGACATTTCGCATAAATATCTCGAGTCTCTTAGCGACTTGTCGCCGTTTACCGGCGCGTCTGAATGCGCCATCGCTGAGAGGAGACACCGCGTAAAACTCGGAAGTTCTTCTCCCTTTTGTGTGCGTGTACCCGGGGGGCGAAAGCGGGTAGGGCAAAGCGGAGAACGGAAGAGACGTAGTAACCGCTCGGGCGAGGAAACGATAAGAATTGTCGGCCTCGCGAAGCTTCCGAGAGCGCGAATAATGGGACCGCCTGTCCTCCCGGAGTTATTGCGAGCGCATCGTTATGCGCTCCCCCGTGCGATTTGTAGTTGCAATAATCGACCTCGGTGGTCCGTTATTGTATGCCCGCCCCGTCGGACGATCTTTATGGATACGTGTGCCATCTTTACGTCGTATATATATACGTATGCACCGGCGCGGCGAATCGATTACCCGCTGCACGTATAAACGCGAAAGAATCTAGACGCCGTCTATCGATTCTCGGCGAGCGTTGTTGTGTGCGACCCAGTGCCTCGAAGGTAAACGGGTGTGTGTATAGTTAAAGCGCAGTTAAATATACAGTTGTCGCGTGTTGTATTTTCTTACCTCCTCCCACCATCCCGCGACCGCGCGTGTATTACCTCCCGATCGTTTAACGTTAAACGCCGCACGCTCCGATTCCGAAAAAGCTTGTTGATTCAATCGTATACAGCATGAGAATCCCATTCAACGTCAACGTGACGTGTGGGCTCCATGCAAGCCCCGTGTTTAACGCTGAATGCGTGCCGAAGATACGGCCGTTCCCGATAGCGAGGCGTCTCCTTTAATACAGATTTGTATTTGAAGCCCCACGTGCTCTCTGCAATCATCATACGCACTATTGCTTGTCACTATTGCTTCCCTTTCATTGATAATTCGCAATAATTGACTTAAAAATGTGTATCTTAGCAAGTTCTAAATTTCGCGAATTACAGTTTTTAATAGATTTTATCGATCTTGTTTTACATAATTTACATTGCGATATGAGATAAAACGCTGACTCTTGAGGAACTTTATAAATATTAAGATGATATATGTTTTGATGTAAAAATTGACGGTTAAATTCAAGTAGAGCTTGACGTATTAAATATGGAGCACTTGTCATGTTAGTTTTTATCATTGTTATTACATTCTGAGATTAAAAAAAGCAATATAGAGGAATACAATTTTTATATTTCATATCTATTCGCTTTACACCTCTGTGTGTGCTCTATATTTATTATTTTACGTACACCTTCCGCGTTTTATGAATTAACAAAAATTTGGGAGATATCAAGTATTAAGTACTAAGATATCATTACATGGCTAATCTGATGTGCATGCGCTCGCGCATCGGGTTGATAGCGCCGCTGCGGAAATGTCGGATTAAATTAAATTTACATGGAAATACATCGTAATCTTTCATACCGTGCACGAACTGTTTGTGCGGAGAATTATATTTTAGAATACGGAATGTACATAGCATAAATCGTACGGTCGCATAAATCACGTCGTGTTGCATACATATATAGTTCTCCCCCCGATCGATGTTCCGCGCGTATCGATATGACTGCATCCGAGGACTCCGGTCGGGCGACAGGCCACGATGGCGAGACAAAAGAATTTATTTTATCGAGAGAGAGAGAGAGGGAGATGGAGATTTAAATGTTTTTTATACCACCGCGCGGTGTCGATAGTACAACGCAGTTGTTTGTAGCTTGCACTTTTCACCGCGCGTTGACAGTTCTCCGCGATGAAACGTAGCGCGCGGCAATGTTTTCGACGTAAAGTCGTGATTTTTGATCGCGGATTCTCGTGGAGTTCCCCATTCTCCCTACAACGGATATCACGCGACGCGAGACAAACGCACGCGCGTATAATAAATTTCACGGCGTTTTCTCCGCGGCCCGTTTCGCAGATCCTGCCCACGGATTAACGTCACGGAGTTAAGGTCGCTGCAACTGACAATGAATTCGTTTCCACGTCGCGGCGTCTACTCCGGTCTTAGAGTCGGTCTCTCCTCGTATAGTTCCTGTAATTGAGAAACTTGGCGACGACCGCGCGACAATTTTGATGGTTTTCCGATCGTCCGTCCGTATATCCCTAATCGCGGCAGAACAACGTCGATGTCCAAAGTTGGCCGATCGGCTACCGTACGTGATGATTCGTTTCGTGAAGCGCGCGCCTGGTATCTATAATTTTCCAATCGAATGCATCGGGTTAATCCTAACTCAAAATTCGGTTAGACCGGTTTGAAGTCAAGTTAACCACTACCACATTTCGACCAAAATTTGCTCGAGAATCTCGCAGAGTTACCGTCGAACGGCAGTTACCGCGGTGTAGAAA